CATAGTCCAAAGATACTCTGACTGCTTAGACCTGCTAAAAATATCATCCTGCCAGCCTTATTGTAAAGGGTCCAGAAATAATATGACAGAAAACAGCAACAGAAAAGCAATGCAGTGAGTTGGCTTATATAGAGTTCCCATGACCTCAAACCATGGATTTTTTTTGGATGAAAGCTAATGACAGCACTTCTTCTTATTGTCGTTTCCTACTTTTCTGAAAAAAGTATAATTCCAGGATAATATTCCATGTGGTGTTGTTTTAATCTCCAAACAACGACCACCATTGTATGAATTAGTCTTAGGAATGATTGGATCTGAGTTCTTTAAAATCCTCTTTATACTCCAAATTTTAAATGCTTAGACGCCCTAGATAACTATAAAAGAAGTGACTAGTGCGATAACTCAGAGGATTTCAAGTCATCATCATATGCTATGCATGTGTAATGTGCAGGCAAATGACTACTTTTTTACTGCATTATTTTTCCTGGAGAACTCTAAAAGAATGTTACATCATATTGTTATATTGGTTTGATTTATAGTAAGACATAGATTTCCACCCTGTCTTTTCAGACATCATGACTCATAGCAAGCAAACGTCAGAATTAATCAGAATGCACAGTGAAATATTCATAAAGCCACAGGGCACAAGTTCAGACTATAATGTTTTAAATAGCTTGGAACAGTTGTAGAACATTTTCGTTATTAATTATATTACACAGTTAAAATAAAAAAAAATGCTGAGTTATAACCCAGTTGCTGGGATAAGGGGATGGGTCACTTTTCTGGGTTATTTCCTATTATGTTAATCCAACTTTTGTTAAAGTAGTTAACTCAGATTTGAGTGGTCAATAGGAGCTGATTCATTTTCTGTAACAGCAGCTCTGACAGTAGTTCTGCCTGCAAGACAAATTAATACTTGTTATAAAATGTTATCGTTTCTAACTACGCACGCAGGGACTTTGCAGTGATGCTATTTACCAGAGAACAACATACTGATATGGTGAAGGAGATATTTTATGTTTATGGACGGAGTCTCACTTTCTGTCAGCACTGTAACAATCAAGTTCTCCAGCACAGGAGAGAATTCAGGGCATTCCAGTGTTTTTTTTTTTTTGTATAAAATGGCTTATTTCAATTTATTTAACATTGGCCATTGTAATCTTTACAAAAGTGTCTTAGAATAAATCCAAGACAAATAATAACATTTCTACTACTGTAATGATTTATTTTTATTTTATTGTGCATATTACCTCCTTGACTTCACTTTAACATTACCAAGAACCCAGCATTCATGTTCAGAGATTGAACAAAACATCCTTATTTTGGTCTGCTTTAATGGTCCTGAAGGACACGGCACCTAAAAAACAAAAAAAAAAAAAAAAAAATCATACATACAAACATTAAAAGAAAAGAGGAGCAACTTTAAATAAAAACTGGCAGTAAAAAAATAAAAACATTTACCAAGAACTTCATTAATGCATTAATGTTCAGAGATCAAACATGTAGTACAGTTTATGCATTTTGTATTTGTATTATATATTATGTATTTTACATCCCAACATTCCTTAGACCTGCGTGAGAGAGAGAGAACGAGACAGACAGACAGACAGAAGATAGGAAGGGTAAAGGGCCTGAGATCTCTGTCCTCAGCCAGGTACTTTGCAATTTACAATCCATGTGGTGAACACATGTCTTCTGTCCATAGACCAATTGATTCGTTCTCCCTCACACAATTTGACAGGCTCTTATCTCTTTTGACAGGGTTATTCATTTTCCAAAAGAAAACGTCTAAGAATGTATGAAGAAGCTATAACTGAAAGATAGTCAATGTGACCTGGTGTGCATATTGGATGGATATTGTGCAAATGTAAATGGCGCACTTATATAGCTTTTATTCAAAGCGCTTTACACTTCACTAACCCACACACACACACCAATGGTAGCAGAGCTGCCATGCAAGGCGCTAAATTGTCATCGGGAGCAATTTGGGGTTCAGTGTCTTGCCCAAGCACACTTCGGCATGTCACATATGGGCCCTACGATTAGTGGACAACCCACTCTACCACCTGCGCCACAGCCGCCACAAATGTGCATAAGCTCTGATATAACCAGCGTAGAAGCTCAGGGCAAAAGGCAGGAGACACCCTGGATGGGGTGGCAAACCATTACAGGACACAACCAGCCTACAGCGCTTGACTTTGGACTGCGGGAGAAAACTGGAGTACAGGAGGAAACCCCCAAAGCACAGGGTGAAGGCAGGATTCGAACCCCCAACCCTGGAGGCGCAAGGCAAACATACTAAGCACTAAATTAAATTCACTTCAAGGAAGATGCAAGAGAGGCTGGTGAGAGAACAATTGTGCTACAAACAATTGATAACAAGAACTAACTTGCTTTGCACATGTTGCACAACACTAACTTTGTAATTATAAACTATTAAAAAGCACAATGACACATTTATTACTATATTGTGGTTGTAATCATTAGTGCGTTTGCTGTGGTATATGAGGAATAAAAGACTTCAGGATATGCTGTTATAGAAAATAATCCACTGTGGATCACACTTTGCTTCTGGTGGAGGAAATAAGACTTCATAACAGTGTCTTACACCGACCAGAGTCAACATTTTAATACATTTTAAATACTTTAAATAGATGAAGAGCCTTCATCTCCACAAGAGACCTACAGAAAGTAGCTCCAAATGCAAGCATTTAGATTGAGCTGATTGAACATGATGATGTTGCCCACAGGAGAGTCTGAGGTACGGGCCACACATCTGTTAGGCATATTGCCCTCCACAGTCATTATACAGGGATCATCAAAGGAAGTTGGAGTGGTGTGGTTTATTTCACACTTTCTTACTTTCTTGCTTTTGATACCAAACATTCTTGAACACTTTTATGCTCCAACCTCAGCATACTTGAAGAGCTTCACAGGAAAGCCTGTCAAACTGGACATTAAGAATGAAAACACATTCAGATGGTTTCAGTCAGCAGCAACTCTCCACACAGATCATATAAAATAGGACTGTGGTCACTGATATCTTGCTGTATCAACATTATTTTCTCTACTGATAACTGTAATTGAGATGACCTGGATATGCAGACATTCTTTCACTAAATCAATCAGAGTATCAAAGTGAAATAGTATATTGTAGTATACTCTATGTAGTGTATCTATTCCTTCTGCGTATGTGTCCACATGATGGTTACTATTGTTCCTGGAACCTCAAATGTGAGACATATACGAGCAGGTGGTGCAGCTCTTGTCCAAGGTAAGTCCTCCAACAATGCCGATAATGGATCTCTGTAGGAGATTTATTTCCAAAAAGGAGTTTAGGCATCAGCAGCCATGGTATGTGTGTTTCCAAAATGTTCCACTCTTTCAGCTGGATTTGGCTTCAGAATATGTCAGGATCTCAGGCGAGTCTGTGCTGCTGCCTGACCTTATGACAAACACAAAGAAAGAGTGAACACGGCTGGGTGTGAGTGTTGCTTTAAACCATATGAAACATCCCGGCTTAAGTCCAATAACATTCATGACCTTTTGCTTTGTCTTGAAAGCATTGTATATTGAAAGCATCTGACATGCGGTTATAATATTTCATTCATTTTAGTTCACAACTGACAATTTCAGGGTCAGGCGTTTGTTTTCTAAACCAAGACTGGACCATGGATTTAAACCTGAAGTGGACGTGGCCTAAACCAGAAGGATTTTATTCTAGTCTCAAACCAATAGTCTGTGAACTCTTTCTGGTGTGTTCTAAAAAATAAAAAAATAAAAAATATATATTCGCGTTTCAGTCAATCCAGTTTTTTTCGATTTTGTGCACGCAGAAATGAACGCAAAATCAAGCAAACACTGCAATCTTCCAAGGAGCATTCGCTATATTTCTAAATTACCGCAGATTTGTGTCAAGACGCATCATTTGACATCATCACAACGTGCATTCGGTCAAAGCCCTTTTTGATTCATGTGTGTTGAACACAAGTACAGCTAAAGGCCTCATTTAATAGCAAACATCACTGTAAAAGACAGTGCAAAACAATTTGCTTGCAACAACATGCAACTGCAATTTCACCAATTCAAGTTTTCTGAAGAAAAAAAAAGCACAAAAACAAAGAAATAAATGAAAATGCATCAAAATCAAGCATTTCTGGCTGCAACAACCGCAGAAGTAAAAACTCTGTGAAATCCTGTATGGAGTGAAGTACAAGTGCAGGAACAAATACTTAATACATCTGAAATAAATATACAACATGGAAAAGTCCTTGCAAGCTCATAAGCTTCTGTGTTTCTAATTCTGTGAGTTTTATATGCAACAGAGGTGATTTGTTTTAATGCTTGAATCCAAATGATGCAACATTCTGCTGTAAGATTTTCTTCCAGACTTATGGGCTCATTGTGAAAAAGTATTCATGGGGGAGTGGGGAGCAAAACACCCACTGCCAAAGCACAATTTTATTTTGTAATATTGTTATATTGTTTCATTCATTGATTAATATGCTCATTTACAGTAGTACATTTATGACTGTTGGGCACACTACCTCGGTTTACAGAGGTAAAAAAAAATCTTAAATATCATATTGTGGAATATATTATTTTTTCCTGTCAGCACTTTGCCTTAAAAATAAATTTATGTTTCATGTAGGATGTAAATAATGGCTTGTTTCAAGTACACATTTAGTTAAGTGTTAACACAGGCAGCATGGTGGCACAGCAAGAAGAGTTGCTGTCTCGCAGCTCCAGGGACCCCTGTTCAGACCTGAGCTTGGGTTCCTGTATGAGCATGTTCTCCCTGTGTCTATGTGGGTTTCCTCTGGGCTCTCTGTTTTCCTTCTACTTCCCAAGAAAGTCCTTTTAGTTAGATTTATTTTGGATTTTTGTGGAAGCAAGTGCAACAGCACCACCATTGGTTATGAAAAAATTAACAGAAAGGAATAAAGACATGATATTGGGGCTGATTTCCAGGTAGAAGCAAGTTGAGGCTTTGCTACAGTGCGGAAATAGCTCAGTTGGGAGTATGTTAGAATGAAGCTCTAAGGGTCTCTGGTTCAAGCCTGGGTTTTGGCAGCTGAGAATAATGCACTTCTTCAGAACTCTGTATTTTGGGCAGTGGTGGCTCAATGGTTAAGGCTTTGGGTTTCTGATCAGAAGGTCAGGTGGTCATACCCCAGCACTGCCAAGCTGCCACTGTTGGGCCCTTGAGCAAGGCCCTTAACCCTCTCTGCTCGAAGTCTGGTGTATCTTGCTTGACCCTGTGCTCAGACTCTAGTTTCCTAAGAACCTAGGATATCTGAAAAAAGAATTTCATTGTGCTGTAATGTATATGTGACCAATAAAAGCGGATTTCTTTCTAGCTCAGACTATACATTCATGTATCCTATCAGTGTGTCTGGTGATTGCACACAATAAAAGGCCCACTAGATGTGATCTGCAGTTGGGCTGATATTTTTCACACACTAATAACTCATCCATCACTCATCAGCAGCAGTGATTGAGAAGATGTGTGTGAAATACAGTCAGGGGTGTAATGAATGTGAATGAAAATGAATATTTACTCTATCATTCTTTTCCCCCCAAAGATGTTCTTTGGAGAAGAAACTAAAAGTATATAGACTAAGCACACATTAAAACAAAGAAGAGACTATATTGTATACTGCAGTTATTGTACTATAGCCTATATACTGTAGTATAGCTCTCACATCATCACATGACCAGTCATTACTACAGCACAATTCCTGAAAATTCGAATCATATTATAAATTATTTTTAAAACAAAGTAGAAGAAAATGTAGTTTTGTACTATGACACGATTGGATGCAATGAAACATAGAATAAAAGCAGATTTTATATTCTCCATTAAAATCAAGTTCAAGCTGCAGCTTAATCAGAGGTTTATTTATTTTTTATCATAGATTACAGCTCCTCTCTGCGCCCTTCTCTGACATTGTAGTAACAGCTGGATGTGATGGCTAACACTACTCAGGAGACTAACTTTTCTTGAGCAAAAGATGTGAAATCACAGGAAATCTCTCACAAAGCCTACTGAGAGACACACAAAAGACACACAAAAAAAGATGAATAAGATTTAACAAAGGAATTCGTTTTACTCGCCTTGTTTGCAAAGATAGTTTTGTTTATAATGGCTTTGCTACAGATCTTATCTTAATGTATTTCATCTCACCATAAGTCTGCTTTGTTTTCTGAAATGATGCCCTGTAAACTGCATCAAATTTACAAAAGAATATTAGATTCCAATTTCATTTAGCAATGAATGTTTGCGAAGAGCAATCTAATGCACAGCTTCTTTCAAGCATAACACACATGCTGAGATTACACTGATATTTAGTTCCTCAGACAACACTGGTAATTATCTATAAATTGTCCTCAATGCTGGAAAGAATGAATCATGTCAGAGTGCAGTAGGGTAAGGCATAACTGTCTAGGCTGACATTCCCAAAAGCATCGCAAAGCAAAAATCATCGTAACTGCGAGAGAGGGTGTTCAGTGTGATGCTCGCTACGGGCAGTGGTGGCCCAGTGGTTAAGGTTCTGGGTTACTAATCAGAAGGTCAAGGGTCGAAGGTCCCCGAGACCGCCAAGCTGCCACTGATGATGGGCCCTTTAGCAAGACCTGTAAACCTATCTGCTGTATCATGGGTGATTCTCTGCACTGACCTGATCCTCCTAACAAGCTCGGATATATGAAGAAAATTATTTTACTGTACTGTAAATGTTTATGAGAAAAAATAAAGTCTTGTTTTCTTTGTCTAACATTTGACAATGATCTTTGTGCTGGGATGCTTTTGGGAAATATGGCCCTGTGCTTCTCTGGTATCGAAAGCTTTAATAGTTTTGTTACGCTCAGATATTATACTCAGACATTCCAGAGAGCAGCTTTTCATATGATGTAATACATAAGTAGACATTGGACCTTGGACATATGAGCCTCGATCTGACTATTTACAAAAAAAAAAAAAAAAAAAGGAAAAATGTTAATATCCCACCCATACAGAAAAGTTTAGTGCATTTTTTCCATATGTGATTGTTTGACACGGTTAATTTATTTTCAAGAAAAAAAATTTCTTTTTTATTATAATGATTTTATTATTTTTTTTTTTTCAAGTGGTAACATTATTCAGATGATGTCACATGGATTTACTTAGGGTCACACGTGCTTCAGGGCATACCATTATGGAATGAATATATATATATATGTGTGTGTGTTAAACAATTACTGGCACCCTTTTAGTCAATACTTTGTGCTACCCCCCTTTGCCAAGATAACAGCTCTGAGTCTTCTCCTATAATGCCTAATGGGGTTGGAGTATACATGGCAGGGGATCTGAGACCATTCCTTCATACAGAATCTCTCCAGATCTTTCAAATTAAGAGATCCACGCTGGTGGACTCTCCTCTTCAGTTCACCCCATAGGTTTTCTATGGGTTTCAAATCAGGGGACTGGATGGCCATGGCATGACCTTGATTTTGTGGTCAGTAAACCATTTTCGTATTGATGTTGATGTATGTTTTGGATCATTGTCCTGCTGGAAGATCCAACCACGACCCATTTTAAGTTTTCTGGCAGAGGCAGTCAGGTTGTCTTTTAATATCTGTAGATATTTGATATAGTGCATGATGCTGTGTATCCTAACAAAATGTCCAGGTCCTCTGGCAGAAAAACAGAAAAAACATTAAAGAGCCACCAGCATATTTAACCGTGGGCATGAGGTACTTTTCCATATGGCTACCTCTCTGTGTGTGCTAAAACGACCTCTGGTGTTTATTGCCAAATAGCTATATTTTGGTTTAATCTGACCATAGAAGCCGATCCCATTTGAAGTTCCAGTAGTGTCTGGCAAACTGAAGAGGCTTGAGCTTGTTTTTGGATGAGAGTAGAAGTTTTCTCTTGAAACCCTTCCAAACAACTTGAAGTGATGTAGATGACTTTGGATTGTAGTTTTGGAGACTGTCTGACCCCAAGACACAACTAACTTCTGCAGTTCTCCAGCTGTGATCCTTGGAGATTTTTTGGCCACTCAAAGCCATTCTCCTCACAGTGTGTTGAGACAATATAGATACATGTCCAATTCCAGGTTGATTCATAACATTTCCAGTTGACTGGAACTTTTTATTTATTGCCTAAAGGGTGGAAATGGGCATTTTCAATGCTTGTGCTATTTTTTTTATACTTCCAGACACTTCCAGTTTTGTGAAGCTCAACAACCTTTGGCCACACATCACCACTATATTCCTTTGTCTTACCCATTGTTATTGACTAAATAAATTCGGCACATGTGTTACCTCATATTTATACCTTTGTGAAACAGGAAGTCATGGTTGAACAATTTCCAGTTGTCTGGAAAAAATGTCAATTGGAATACGTCAAATATCTTTTTCTTATATGAATTCATAGGAGTGCCAATAGTTTATTTTATTTGTATTTTTTTTATAAACCTGTGTTGAATTTGCAACAAAGTTACAAAACAAAATATGAACAAAAGTTCAAAGGTTAAACAATAAAGACACATTTTCACAGCCTTCTTTGCTCATATTTACCAAGAGTGCCAATATTAGTGGAAGGCGCTGTAGTTCATTCTTGATGACAGCGTCACTGACGAAGGAACAACCAACACGTTATCCCAGATCCACTGATATGTAGAAAAGCCTTATTTGAATAGGTTTTGTCCCAGGCTCAGATATTCTGTACAGTAGACCTGCTTGATAAACCTGATGTTGTTGCCATAAGCAAGTTTTTCTTTTTTTTTCTCTCTTTCTTTTCTTTTTTAAAGTAATGACTGCCACTTGTTTTCTAGACAGATTCCTAATGTTGCTCAACTTTTCTCAACTCAATCTTTTCTTTCTTTTTATAATATCAGAACACAAGAGCCACAGAGTTCTGGGACTGGGGAAAAATAATCACAACAGTCTCTTCTACAAACTTTATATGCTGTCTCTAATGCTGACCAGAAAGCTCAGTGAGTTACAGGCCATAAAATGACATTTACAGAGATCTTGCTGAGCCAAGAGTTAACAGATTCAGTTGTTTTAAATTCTCTTTAAAGCTCTTTTTTGGACAAGGGGGTCAAAAACTAAATCAAGACTGACATGATTAGCAGAAAAGTGTTGGTGAAGTGAAAATTTATATAGGAAAGGTGAAGTCATGATGGTCTGTAACTGATAGATTTATTTAAATAGATTCCTAGTCGCTATATACAATATCCTGAAATGGTATTTTACATAGAGAAGTGCAACGTGTCAGGATTTTGCAGTCAAATGCCAAAAACAGTATAGGACACAAATAATTATATTTATTACATTACATTTATTTATTTAGCAGATGATTTTATCCAAAGTGACTTACAAATGAGGAAATACAAGCAAAGCGATATATATCAAGTTGAGAACAATGCTACCATACAAGATCTTTTAATGGAGTTCTAGAAACCAAAGTGCGCAGAGTAGAGGTGTACGAACCAGAGTACGTTTTCAAAAAAAAATTAAATTTTTTTTAAAGGATACTGTGGGGTTGGCATTTTAGGGGTTAGTTAGGCGTTCATGGAAGAGGTGAACTAATGCTTGGTCAGTACACCAGACTTATCATTTCCACCTGTAATATCACAGGGACTTCTCTCACATTTAATGATGTGATGAAAGAAGCATGACTAACCTCATCTGACCCAGCATTACAGACCATGCCACTCTTCACAACCTTGAACAAGATCTCCTTGTTTGTTGGGTTCTTAATTACAAAGGGGCATTTTCCACTTCTCTATGCATGAGTAATAGCCTGGAACGCAGCAGCCCTGAACCCAACCAGGTCTTTTAGCTCAATCACAGAGTCTGCTCATCCACAAGTGCACAGGAATTAATCTGAGTGCCACCCAGCCTGCCAGCCATGCCCACTCGGTACATGTCTGGGTGGCCGAGTTTGAGTGATCGCAACATTGGGATGTCAGTGTACATATGATGCACCAGCAAAACAACAAGACACAATAACAGACTGTCTGCTTACTGTAAAGCAAATATACAGTATACTGTATGTGGCCTCAAACGTGTGTGGCCTCATC